CACTCCTGCCTTTCAGTATTTTATCATTCTGGCATGCCAGACAATCCCAGTTCATCTGGCAAGTCCACTCTGCCGACACCCACTTGGGACAAAAAGAAAGAAGCCCCAGTGCCCGGAATGTTCCATACCTGCCTCTCCTCAAAAAGCCAGAGGCGGCGTGCTGCCAACACTAAGTCTCCCAAGATACTCACCCTGACCCTGCAGGCATGGCCTGACATCTCTGCATTTTACTATTCTAGCACACCCAAATGCTTGCAAATTCTGGGCCAGAGACCCCCAGTTCATCTGGCAAGTCAGCTCTGCCAACACCCACTTGGGGTAAAAAGAAAGACAAGATGTCAGTGTAGAGACTAAGGAGCACCCGCTGCAGGTCATGGTCTTTGCAGTTAACTTGCTATGCATCAGAGAAGTGGACAATGACTAAGGGTGACAGAAGAAGGATCAATGCCTTTGAATTGTGGTATTGGAGAAGAGTCTTGAACATACCATGGACCGCCAAGAGAGCAAACAGGATTGTCCTGGAGAGGGTGAAGCCAAGCTGCTTCTTGGGGGCAAGGATTCTGAAGCTCCATCTCATATACTTTGGAAATGTTGTGTGGAGGGACCAGTCCTTAGAGAGGGCCTTCATTGTTGGAAGGATAGAGGAATGGTGCAGGAGAGGAAGATCCTAGATGAGATGGATTGACACAGTGTCTGGGGCAGTGGGGGCAAGCTCAGGACAGGGCAGGGTTCAGAGCATAGGGTCACTATGAGTGACAGGCAACTCGTTGGCACATAACAATAAAAACAGAAATAAACCCATCATTATGTAAAGAAAAGGCTAAAGATAAAAAAATGATTCTATGAAATAGATTGTTTCTGTATCTGAAAAGACTTTCAAACAAACTAAAATAGTCTGATTTTCTAGAGAAATGAAAACACATTGCCTCAGTAAATCTAGAATAGAATAATTATTTTTTAATACTCAGAACAAGAAAAAGGTATAAGAAATTAATATATTTGGAAAATTTAAACAAAATTGGATTGTTTGCATGATAAATTGAATAAAATGTTTTGAACAGAAAGAACAGGTTCATTATTGAACCAGTAGTAGTTCTAAAAATAGGAAATGAAATAGGGACAATAATGAGAAAAATAAGACAGGAAAATCTGCATGTTTGTCTTTCTATACATTAAAACATTAAACATTTCTAAACGTACCTACATATTTTGTTTGTTTTGGGTTGTTTTTGTTTATTTTATAGTGATTTATTTATAAAATTTTAATACATTGTTTTTCACAAAAAAATCCTTCCCATTTACTTCACCTCCCCCCATCGAATTGTACAACGCTATGATTAACACCCTCCCCTGCCAGTCCTGCTTCCACTCTCTACCCCGTTGGATCCTCATATTCATTCTACAGTAATGGTTTTATATAGTATTTGTTCTTGGGGGACTGAGTTAGTTCACTCAGCATAATGCTCTCCAGTCACTCCTAAGTCAGGTAGTAATTTACAAAATCATTGCTCTTGTGTGCTGTGTAGTATTCGATTATAAAAATATACCACAGCTTCTCAGTCCATTTATTTGTGGTTGGATATCTTGGCTGTTTTCATGTTCTTGTGATGGTGAATAATACTGCTGTTAACATTGGTACACACCTACGCCTAAACATAATAGTGCAATAATAATAATATTTGATGTATATCACAATGTAGTGCCTATTTGTTATTAGAAACTGTTGTGTAGAATTTGGATTTTTAATAAGCCATGTGAAAGTTGAGCCGCAGATAACTATTTGCCTGAACAGATGTTAAAGACTGTATGACTAATTTATCATTATTTTTTTAATTTGTTGTTAACAGCCATTCAGTTGACTCATAATGACTCTATGAACAACAGATCTGAATCTTGCCCTAATCTGTGAACACCTCAAGCCCATTGTTATAGTCACAGTATAGTATGAATACATCTTGTTGAGGGTCATTTTCTCCTTTCTTTGACCTTTCCCAACATGATAATCTTTTCCAAGGACTGATATCTCTTGATAACATATGCAGAGTATGTGAGATGAAGCTTCACCATTCTTGCTTCTAGGAAGCACGCTGTTTGTACTTCCTCCAAGACAGACTTTTTGTTCTTTTGGCATGGCTTATTCAGTACTTTTCTCTACCACCACAATTTAAAGGCATCAAAGTCATCTTTATTCATTTTCCAACTTTCAGATGCATAAGAAGTAATTGAAAAGACTATGACTTGGATCAGGTACACCTTAATTTTAAAGAATCTAATAGCCTTATTCTTTAGCACTTTGGAAATATTATTGATGGCAGATTTTTCTGAATGTGACTTTTTATTTTTTATTTCTTGACTGCAGTTACCATGGGTGTTGATTGTAGATCTAAGTAAAATAAAATCCTTGCCAGTGTCAGTCTCATCAACATCACCATTATCATGTTGCCTCTGGGTCCAGTGATGAGGATTTTTGTTTTCTTGATACTGAAGTGCAGTGCATATTGAAAGCTATAGTCTTTGATCTTCTGCAGCAAGTGTTTCAAGTCTTCAAACAAATAAGATTGTGTCATCTCCATAAAACAGGTTATGGGTGAGTCTTCCTTCAATTTTGATGCTACATTCTTCTTCCTAACAGTCCAGCTTCTCAAATGATTTGCTCAGCATACAGATTAAATCAGTATGAAGAATGGATGCACAACTTTTCTTGATTTTAAACCATTGCCTTTCTTTGTTCTGTTCTGCATTTGCTTCTTTTAGAGGTTTTGCTTGAGCACAGTCATGCGTCCTGGGATTCTCATTCTCAGTGTTACCCTGCTAGGGAAAAATGTGGCAGTAGATTTGGGTTTAAGTAGCTCTAATGGTACTGTGGTGTGAATTATTTGGCTTCTAAGTGATATTAAGATCAGTAATTCTGACCCATTGAAGACACCAAAAAACAAAGGTAGAGGTGGTAATTCTTCAACTCACACTGTGTAAAGAAAAGACTGACTAAAGAAAGACAATTAAATATTGAATAAGGAGAGCAACAGAACATCAAACCATAAAAGCACAGTGTGGCTACCTTATTTTTGTGACGATGTTATGTGTCATTGAGTCACCTGTGACCCTCTGTACAATATTAGCCCTGAACTCTGCCCTGTCCTGAGCCAGTCTCACTGACTCTGACACATCTGCCTCCATTACCCTAATTACAGTGTCAGTCTATCTCATCTGGGTTCTTCCTCTCCTGTGCTGTCCCTCCACCCTTCCGAGCATGAGAGCAGATGGCACAACCCTGCTTGCTGAAACTGAGGAGGACCTGAAGCACTTACTGCAGAAGGTTAAGGACAGCAGTCTTCAATATGGATTGAAGCTCAAAATCAAGAAAACAGATTATCACCACTGAGCAGATTGGTTGCATCATGATAGATGGAGACGAGATTGAGATTGTTAATTGCTTCAGTTTGCTCTGACTCTACAGTCAACACTCTTGGTACCAGCAGTCAGGAAATTAAAAGATGAATTGCATCGCAAAAGTCTGCTGTCAGTGACCTCTCCAAAGTACTGAAGAGCAACGATGTTAGTCTGGAGATAAAGGTACACCTGATATAGGCATGGTCTTTGCAATTACTTGCTATGCATCAGGAAGCTGGACAATGACTAGGGATTGTAGGAGAGTTGATGCCTTTGAGCTGTGGTGAAGGAGAAGAATATTGAATATACCATGGATTGCTAGGAGAACAAACAAATTCATCCTGGAGAGTGTGGAGCTAAGTTGCTCCTTGGAGGCAAGGATTCTGAAGCTTTGTCTGACATACTTTTAGGACAGGGTCAGTCTTTGGAGAAGGACGTCATGCTTGGGAGGGTGGAGGGACAACACAGGAGAGGAAGACCCTTGATGAGGTGGATTGATTCAGTGACTGGGTAATGGGGATAAGTGTCAGAGACAATAAAATTGGCACAGGATAGAGCAGGGTTTAGGGCTATTGTATATAGAGTCGCAATGAGTCGCAGGCAACTCGACAGCACATAACAACAACAAGGAAGTTACTATGATTAATCTCGCCAACAAAATTACTCATTGTGAGTTTTATCTCACAATGCATATTAATAGGGCTTAAAATACAATATGGCTACTATACATAATTTTTTTACTTTGTTTTGTTTTATTTTTAATTTCAGTATGCATTTTTCTCGTCTCACATTTGGTCTCATGATTTTCTACTTGAGTCATATAAGATACTTAGTAAAAATAAGAATGATAACCATTTTCCTGTTAGATCTTAGTATTTTTTTTTACTTCATATATACTATAGTTTTATGTAGTTTATCTTATAGATTTATATATAGAAATATTTTTATGAAATTATAGAAATTTTATATAATTTATATAAATTATTATATATAATAAACATATATTTATTAATTATATATATATCTCCTCTCCTCTTCCCACAAGAAAAGAACTTTAATCATAATACTTATTAAGTATGAATCACACCTAATTGCTTATTTTAAATGTGAAGGTACAAGAAGTCAAATTTAGCTCACATCTATTGAGAACACTTTTGTGCCAGGCACTTGAAATGTTGTATTATTTATATAAGCTATACTAGTGTCTTATCAAATAAAAAAATTAAAAAATAATAGTGTCTTATCTTCACTTATCTCTTATTATAATTAAATATATGTGAAAATTTTGATAAATTATAATCACTTTTTAGAAAAAATATAAACTATATAAGTAAATTTCTTATAATTATATGTAGAAATACAAAGGTGAACTATTTAATGATTATATGATGTGTCTCCCCCACCCCTTCCTTAATTGTAGGGGGGAGAGGTATATCTTCTGGTTGCTAACGTGAATTTGGAACAACTAGATACATGGAGAAAGCAGATTGTACAGATATGAATATTATCACTAGGATCTGAAGATTAGAAAATGTTCTTCAGTGTTCTCATGGACTCTTCTGGTGAAAAGACTCTTAAGAAATTATGTGGATAGAGACTTTTTCAGAACAATGGAGGAAAACTCAAAAAGTCCAGATAGTAATCAAGAAAGAAATTCAAGCAAACACCATTACTCTTACTGTTCATCTGATTTTGAAACTACTCCACAGTCTTCTGGCCAGTCTTCAGTGGTCAAACCCTCTTCACCTACAAATGTTAAGAAAAAGAATACTAAAAGACATGTTTCAGATAGCCAAGTATATCAAGGTATGTATTCTTTAAAAGAAACCTATAGACTTAATTTAAATGCTTAAAGAATGTATATATCTGTATGTTGAACACCTAGAAATGGAATTATGTATTTTTTAAATAAAATATAGTTTACCAATGTATATACATATTGCTTGTTTATATTACTGTATATTGTTGTTGCTGTGTGCAGTCAAGTCACTTTTGACTCATAGCAACCTTATGAGTAACAGCTCTGATCCTTGCTCTATCTTGAGCCAGTTTCATTGTCTCCCACACACTTGCCCCCATGACCCCAGTCACTAAGTCAATCCATCTCATCTAGGGTCTTTCTCCCTTGCACTGTAACACTACCCTTTCAAGCATGATGATGACAGTAGTCCTATTTGTTCTCTTAGCAGTCCATGGTATATTCAGTACACTTCTCCAGCACCACATACTTTAAAGTATAGAATCTTCATCTGTCATCCTTAGTCATTATCTAGCTCTCTGATGCATAGCAAATAATTGTGAAGACCATGGCCTGGATCAGGCATACCTTAGTTTCTAGATGGACATCATTGCTCTTCAGCACTCTGGAGACGTTCCTGACACTGCCGCCTCCTGGTCCAAGCATAGGTTTTGCATAAGCACTATCAAGTGTTCTGGGATTTCTATTCTCCTCAGAGTCAGACCCTGTATATGTATTACTCTGTTCTATTTGAAATCATACAATGTACAGGTAAAAAAAAAGGTAGCATAAGGCTTCTTACTTTTTGTTCCTAAACAAATGATTTCATGATATTTTCAAGGAAGAAAAGTCACCAAAAATGTATAACTTTCTGTATTTTCACTTTAAAATAATGAAAATAATTAAAATAATGAAAGAAATTGAATCAGAGGAAGGGGCATTTTTATAGATTGAGTAAACTTATATTATCTGAGTAACTCAGTGCTTAAAACCTAGACAGAATTTAGGACTTAGAGTGCTAGTTTAATTTGTTTCTTACTACAATGTATTAAAATAGAATTGATCATTGGAAAGAATAATTCTTATTAAATTGTTAGTGCTCTCTAATTCTAAGAACTAGCAAGTCCTTAAAAAAATATCATGCTGGGAAAGGTAAAAGGTTAGCAAAAGAGAGTGAAGACCCCCGTAGATGGACTCGTGTATGGGGTGATTGTGAGCATGCTGCATGATAGGGCAAGGCTTCCCTCTGTCATAGGATTTGTTAGGATTTGAAGTCAATTCAGTGACACTTAACAAATAAAGTGTTTATGCATATTTATGTGTTCTATAATTCTCCAGCTCACTAAGTAAATGGTCAAAAGTACTCTCCAATGCACTTAGTAACAAAATCTTTTAGGATATATACTTCATAGAAAAAGAAGCTGTGGTAAATTAGAGAATACAGTATTCATCAGTAAATATACAGAGTTGTAATAGGAGCAGTTTAGGATGATGGGAGTTGCAAAGCAGAGTGTAGTAAAGGTAGACACCAATAAGGGAAACAGGGACCAGGTTGTGAAAAACCTAACAACTGTTGCCGTTCTGTTCTTTTTAGAATAAAGTGTTCTCTTTTTGTGGGAAATAGTTAACTATTGAACAGTTTTAATTTAAGCAGGAATTATAACTAGATTTAATTTCATGAATGTTTAATTTGAAAAATATTTGCTTATTAAAAGACAGTACATTTTGAAGTCAACCTTTTCATGGACCTCCTTATAGCTTTAAGAAATATTCTGTCTCTTCTCTTTTTTTCCTCTCTGCAAAGTTGCAGAGTGTTTCCTCTTTCCTTTGAAAACTCTTATTAAGAGCCCTGTTTTGATCTTGTGATTAAGAGCATCATTTTATCTTAAACTTTGCCTATAATTAATAACAAGCAAGTGTTAAAGGTCAAACTTTAGGAATTTATTTAATTTTAATTTCTATTTAATTCCAAGAAAAAATTTACTTGATTCAAAGTCCTTACTATCAATCTATGTTGGAGCTAGAGGTGGAGTCCAGCTGGCAGAGTGCCTCAACCTTTGGATTAGCAGGGACTGACTATGTTATCAGAGCTCCCCAGATTCACATAGTGTTGTTGTTTGTTGTTATATGCTCTCCAGTTACTTGCGACTCATAGTGACCCTATGTACAGCAGCTCTGAAGCCTGTTCTATCCTGAGCCTACCTTACTGTCTCTGATACACTTACTCCCATTACTCTGGTCACTGAATCAGTCCATCTCATCCAGGATATTTCTCTCTTGCACTGTCCCTCCAGAGATATTTTCATTTTTCTCTTCTTCCCCAGAAGCAACTTCTGAGACTACCCAATTAAAGACTCAGAACTCCTAATAAGCTTTCTCTTATTTGAGAAAATAATTGAGTTGTTAAAAATAGTCCCAGCATCACCCTGAATTTCCATCATTGCTATCAACTTAACTTGCTACTTTTTGTTATTCCACTGTCTTCTGAATTAAATTGTGGTAATTTGTTTGCTTCAGATGGAACAACAGGGGTGAATCCATTTCCTAGATCCGCTGTAATAAAGTACCACATATGGGTGATTTACAACAACATACATTTATTCTTTATAGTTATGAATGTTGGAAGTCTGAAAACAGGTGTGGGCAGTGTTCATTTCATCTGGAGATTGAGAGGGTCTGTCCATGCCTCTCTCTGAGCTCCTGGAGGCTGCTAGCAATCTAGTTTCTTTGGTGTTAACCTTTCTCTCATCATCAGTGATCACTTAGTGTGTGCCCACATTTCCTGTGCCCTAAAAGAACAGCAGTGATTGAATTGTGTTGCATTCTTCTGTTAATAATCTCAGTTTTACTTTATACATCTGTAAAGACATTTTTCTAAATACGCTCATATCCACAGAAACAAAGGATTAAAACTTCAGACTTGTTTTGGACAGCAAAACTCTGCTCAGAATAAGGGACGAACTTAACTTTTTAAATTAAATTTTATTAATTTTAATGAACATTTACAGAGATTTTGGATTTCCATTCATTCATTGTTGCAGCATTTTCTCTATGCCTCCCAGTTCATTCCTTCTTCCCCACCTTGAAAGTCTGCTTTAATTGTCCCATTGCCACAGTGCTTGTCAAAGCCAGTTCTGATTAATCTCCTTTGTCAGTGTGCCCTTTGCCATTCCCTGTCACTCCTCCTTGAGAGAGATTTCACCCTGATTTATAAGGAAAAGGGGACGGCGTATTCTTTTAGCTACTGCTGCTGAAAAGGGACTCTGTAGGTTTCAGGGTGAAGATCTTCTCTCACTACTCTAAAGGGCCCCTTTGGCAATAGGAAACACATAGACTATTGTGGAGATTGATTTTGGAATTTAGATGCACTGTTATCAATTGTGCTTAGCCATATATGTTCATATCCTTGAAGATGCATCATGGAACTGTTACAGCCTAGAAGACACAAATTTAACAAGTTAAAAGTACATGAGTCAAAAATTAAAAGCAATAATATTCCAAGTGGAGGCTCTAATAGTGGCACAAATCAAGTTACAAAGGGAATGTAGTTCTTAAAATAAAAGGCTTATTGACTAGCACTTGGTCTATTATAGTATTAAGGTTAGGAACAACAAGATGTAGAGGCTCAACTATGTCATTTATTGTTCTTAAGTCCTAGACCGAATTCCATCTACCATTGGGTTGTTTTATAGCTCGGAAGTCCACATGCAAGGCAAAGGTGAAGTAGGTTTTTCATCAATTCCAACAACTAAGAAATAGTGAGAAGAGTTGGGACCTCAGAAGGCTTTTAGGACCAAATAATAGGCTCTTGTGTCCAGGAGAAAATGAATATACTTACCAGTAATGTTAATGCTCACCCACAGCTCTTCTGGGAGGATCTAAATCGTTGAACCATCCTCTTCTGTTTCCAGCTGGGAGCTGGGGCCTGTCAGTCCTGTCAGCCATGAGGACCTGATGTAGGCCACCCTTGGCCATGTGTCCTTCAAATCCACACTTAAAGCAAGTGAGTGGGAGCTTCCTCTCTACTCCCTTGCCTATCTGTGGCTCTCGTCTGTGACACTGTCTACTGAAGTGGCCCAGCTTTCCACAGTGGAAGCAATTCTGACCTCCTTTTTGGGTGGTACTGTTTATGAGTAAGACTTCCTTTTCCTGACACAGGCCCTAAACCGGCAGCAATAGCTGCCCCAATAATTTTGGCCATTCTCTGGTCTTTTCTCTTCCCTCTAGATCCCAGTTGTTTAAACGAGTAACTTTTTCTTTAAATACTAAAGCAGTTTCTCTTGGTTTAAATTTTAGTCACTAGTAATTTAAGGAAATGACAAGTGTGATGAAAATAGTATCTTGAATTTGAGAATTCTCATGTTTGGCATTAGACATCACTCTCTTTTTAAATTTCGGCATATTTAAAAAATAAAATTATGTGTTTATGAAATTTTATATGTATAATGACGAACTTTAGTAATGGCTTAGGTTATATTTAATGTTGTTGTTATGCTCCATCGAGTCATTTGTGACTCATAGCGACCCTGTGTACAACAGCCCTAAGCCCTGCTCTATCCTGTGCCAATTACATTGCCTCTGACACCCCCACCCCGATTACCCCAGTCACTGAATCGATCCACCTCATAGAGGGTCTTCCCCTCCTACACTGTCCCTCCACCCTACCAAGCATGATGTCCCTCTCCAAGGATCTGTCTCTCCTTACAACATGTCCAAAGTATGTTAGACGAAGCCCAAGAATCCTTGCCTCCAAGGAGTAGCCTGGTTTAACCCTCTCCAGGATGAATCTGTTTGTTTTCTTGGCAGTCCGGGGTACATTCAATACTCTTCTCCAGCACCACAGCTCAAAGGCATCAATTCTCCTTCTATCCTCCCTCAACATTGTCCAACTCTCTGATGCATAACAAGTACTTGCAAAGACCATGGCCTGTATCAGGCACACCTTAGTCTCCAGAGAGACTCCGTTGCTCTTGGGTACTTTAGGGAGGTCCTTAACAGCAGACTTTCTTATCGCAATACGGATTTCGATTTCCTGGCTGCTGGTGCCAAGAGTGTTGACCATGGAGCC